CCTGATCTCACAGGGAGCCAGTCTGATGTACAATTGAGACCCTTTGTTTTCGATTGTATAACTACCCAGCTAACACTTTAACGTTAAAAAAACGTTATAAAAACGTATGAGTTTGGTTCAAAAAACGTTTTAGTAAAACGTTTCGAAAACGTAATTTTGTGGAGTTTTGGAAGCGTTTAAATAACGTTTTAAGTTTTAAAAACGTTATTATAACGTAAAAATAACCTTGGTTACATCGACTTTGTTCTTGTATCACGTTTTAAAAACGTTTACAAAGGGTTTTTATTACGTTTGTAAAACGTTATAATATTACGTTTTAAAAACGTAATTATGGGGAGTTTTTAAAGCATTTTAATAACGTTTCAATTTAACATTCAGAAACGTTATTATAACGTTATTTTGATGTTTTTAAAACATTCTTAAAATTTGTTACAATACCAAAGTCAATGTAAATAGAGTAATTTTTAACTCTAGTTACATTGACTTTGGTCTTGTAATACCTTTTAAGAATTCTTTAAAAACATCAAAATAACGGTAAAATTTTTGAGTTTGATTGGTATTCCAAGACGTTTTCAAAACTTGAACAAAGGCTGTACACTGTGCATATCCTTAGGTCGGCCTCTGGTCACACGTAGGATTCCAACTACATCGTGTTAACTTTGATGCTCTGGGACAAAAGAGGTCAACAATACAAAATTACTTACAATTATATAGCGTTATGTGTTTATCCTTTAATGTTTAATGCATCCTGTACTGTATTATACTGTAAATTAGCAAAAGCCCCATTTCAATATAGGACAAAAGGATATACAATAATCAATATCCAAAAAAATAATAAATCAAAATCAAGTTAGAGTCAAGTGCTGACAATTCTATACTATTTCTGTAAGTACAGTTATTTCAGTCAGTATTTGGCAAGTTCAATTGATTTTAAAAATGTCAAAGAAATATCAAAAATAAACAAGGGGCCTAGTGTACAAAATTCCATAGTGCACACTTAAAAATCTTGGAAATTGAGAAAAGCAGGTGGCTACACTCTCTCTGAATCAAGCCTTGACAGAGGAAATTCATGACTGTTCTGTCACAATGGAACCATTTGCGAAGTAGAATGTTGTATCAGAACCAATAAAGAGGATGTGCTACAAATCAAACGCATTCACATAATATTGCTGTCGTCCTCATCGTTGTCATCTCTTCTGGCAACTACATCTTCTTCATTACAAACTTGCTTTAAGTTTCTGTAAAAAGTGAACACAAAAATGTGTCAATTTAATCTATAGTCGGCCTTTTTTGCTTTTTATAATAATTATTCTACATGTAGGATGAGTTTTAGTAGTGTTTTCTGAAGTGAAGTGATTTTCATTTCTGTTAAACTTGACTTAATAACCAAACATATTCTTTTGAGTATCTCATAGTAAAACATTTGCTATATAACAGCTATAAAAACCATACTTTTAATAGTCCCAAGGTAAGACCAACTCAACAGATTTAATTACAAACGTATGATCACCCTTGTTAATATATTATTTGACTGCTGAATATTAGTCACTATAAACAAATTCAACAGATTAGAATAATTACATTTTTTTTTAAATAACATGTGTAGGCCTATGTTAAATATTTATGAAAAAATAATATAAGGTAAGTATAAATTATCATAATTTAAAACTTTCTAATAACTTGTCTGAAGCCGTGATACTTGACATCCTTAAAACAATTAATTCCCATTCTAAATCAATGTATTAGTTAATATAATGAAAATAATAAAGTGAAAATATTATAGGTAATTAAACTGTTTGAAGTGATCATTATGGAATGATAAACATACGCACACAGTACATACAAGGTTAGCATATCATGCTGATAGCAGTGATAGCCCACCATTTCAATAATCAACAAACAATGACGTAATATTGTATAATAATAATAATAATAATAAAAATAATAATAAGATAAAGCCTGGACTTACCGTATTTAATTATGCATACAGGGTGCCTTTACAGAAGAATGGTGGACTTGCCTAAATGCTGTTGAACTTCCTTCCCTCAGGTCATTGGTAACTAAAAGTAAACATATATTTATCAATTAATGACATCAACCCAAAAATATTAATTAAAGAAAAGTTAATAAACAATTAATATAGAATCCACAAATGAGCTACAGTCACACAGGCAATACAAAAATAGTATTCAGCACAATCAAAAATGGTGAATGACATTGTGACCTGTTTCGACACTGAAAGCAGACTTAGAAATCTTAACTGTAATATTATAGCCAGCAACTTCTTATTAAAAATACAAAAACGTCATGCCCAAGAATCACTAGGCCTAGTAAAAATGATTAGATTAGGCCTATGTGCCAGTACCAGGGCAAATACATTACAGGGCCGCTAGCATTACAGTACATAAACCTGCAGTACTGTATCTTCATTTAAAAGGTAAAACACAAACTTATTTAACAAATTACCTACCTGTTATGGCAGTAATTCAGATGGGATCCAAACGCTCTTTCTCTACCGATGTTCCACATGTGCGTTGCTTTTCTTCCCTATCATGTATTTCCCTACCACTTCATGCCTCGGAAACAACAACAAACAAATTTTGAATTTGCCTTGTGGCCCCATCGCTTATCTGAGTGATGGCTATTAGTTGGTCCTTTTCTATAAGTAAACCATGGCCAATGTCAATCTATTGGAAGATAGATAATTATTTACTATTTATTAGTAAACTTTCCTCCCACATTTGCGCATGCTATTAGTATTTGACTTTCAATGGACATCCATGAAAAATATTCACACCCCAGTTATTTATACCATATTTTTTGGTCAACAAAATATAATTATGCTTGAAATATTTCAAACTTTAATTATAGCAAAATTGAAAACTTCCTATGTGTAGAATATGAGTATATTAAAAAGTTCGAGCTATTGATGTTTTTGGTTGTGTGGTTGTCGAATTTAAAATACCAATTATTGAGGTCAGACAGTTGACAGTTATACAATCATTCATTTTGAAAAAGAGTGAAGTATATTGAACTGTGCAAAAAACAAGTCTCAGTATTTTTGGTTGACACAAAATACAATAAATAAATGATATTTAAAGAAAAAATGAATTTTTTTTCAAATTTCATGCATAGGCTTCTATGGCTTAGCTAGGCTAGGTACTGTGTACTGTAGGCCCTAGGTTAAGGAAGAGGCCTAAGCCTAGGCTAGGCCTAGGTAAGCAACAAAAAAAAACAACGATTTTTCTTTTGTGTCCCAACGCCCGTACCTGAGCTGTTGCACTTTTTTTTACTCAATTCTTAGGTTTAGCCTAGGCCTAGCCTAAACAGTACAGTATACGAACAGAAACACTGCCACTGCACTGACGAACTGACTGAACTAAACTTGATACTTAGCTACAAAATTATATCTAGGCTAGAATAAGTAACTAGGCGTAATGTGGAAGGCGTACATTTATGGACGAAAGGAGATTAAGTTTTCTTTACTTACCACAATACTGACTGTGCATAGGCCTATACTTTGGCATGGTGCGGACTCTTCTTTTTTCAAATGGCAATAGAATAGGCCTAGCGGCTATCCTAGGCTAGGTTGAGTTTCAACGGAAGAACGTCCATTTAACTAGTACATAGACATTGCTACAGGTAATAACCATTTCAATAAAATATCAGTTTGCGATTATTACCCCAATTATTACTGAACAAAAGGAGGACATGACAACAACAAAGGGTGCAGCAAGCGAGAGAGATGTCGATGAAGACCGTTCCGTTAGCTTTCAAATTTCACCACCCAGTTGAAGAATGTACCATGTTTAATAAAGGGGGTGGGGAAACCATTTAAGACCAGTTATAATTCTTATTAAATGCATTTATATAAAACCTTCTGTAATTAATCATTTGTTTTGTGTAGGATAGTATAAATAATATAGCATTTCATATTTCATACAATAAATAATTTACTAAATCGTACATCTCAACTCATAAATTGGACCCCTATCACGGCCTGATCCATTGTCTGGTTATTGAAAACGATGTCTCTCTCCTGGCATCTGGAATGATGATTAAAGTAGTAGGTTTTTAAGTTACACTAACTCAGTAACTTTAAAATGGTCACCATAATGGTGGTTTGTGGTTAATGATTTTGTAAGATTAATTAAGTATTTGTTACAAATACTGTATGTGCATTAAATTCATTTTTCATTTCAATTTTAAAATGTGGTGTAAGGCTAAGTATTTGCTGTTTTTAACATTTAATTAAATGTTTAATTTAATGTATAATTTAACTTAAATGTTTAAATTAAATGCTTAATTTAATGTTTTTAACATTTTAACTTAAAATGTGAGCATGCTAATTGATACTGTAACTTATGCATCTGTTATACCTTTCCAAACAGATATTCTATAGAATTCCTATACAACTTCTAAAGCAAATGTTTTAGATGTCTATAGAATTTTCTATAGAATTTCTATACAGGTTCTAAAGTGAATGTTATAGATTTCTATAAAAAAATTTTCCAGAAATATGAAGCATAATTATTTGCGACAAAAATAATAATGATACACATATTAAACTCTATGCATTATTTAGTTACTCAACATCAGACCATGAGCCAAATGCAATAGTTTTATTTATTATTTTTTATTATTATTATTTAATAATCATGTTTCATATTCAAAACCAAGCTTCTGCAATAACACATTTATTGAAAATCCACTGTAGGTTACCAATACATAAATTGTGCAACAAACTAATTTTCTATAGAGTGGAATACAACATTCTATAGAAAATATTAAAATTCTATAGAATGCGTAAACTCTATAAAACATTTCTATAGAATTGTTTTGCCTCTATAGAGTTACATAGAACTCTATATAAAGTTCTATAGAATTCTATAGAGCTCTATAGAACTTTTTTGTATGGGTCTAGGCCTAGCCTAGCCTAGGCCTACCGACGGCTCTGGCTTGTTGACGTGTTTTTTTATTGTGTGTTTTTTCTAAAAGACAATTTAATGTAATGTATATCAAATAATAAACTTACCTTCCATAGTTTCATAAAATTGTATACGATCAGATTAAAAGTTAGGATTTCTAAAAGTATCAACAGAAGTTGAATTCAGAAAACGGGCGTCACATAGCCTACATCATCCAACGAAAAACAGGCGCAAAGTGGCAATCGGTCAACGGTTGCGCGCGTTCGCGTAGATAAATTGTCACATGACGCTTGTTGACGAATCAGTAAATTGTATTCGTGGCTAAGACTCATTATAAATGCATGGATGATGACGGTGACTACGTAGATTTATATATATAGATTAATGTGTTAAAGTTAAAGAAAACAATTAACCTGAATAAATTGGTTCAAATTTGATTGTACCTATGTTAATTGTTTGGGTGTAGCATTGGGTACGTTTGGTCATATACGTACGTCATATAAAATATGTTAATTAAATTTCTGGAATAAAGTGGTGGTCATTTTTGGTTGCGAGATAACGTTGTAAACGCTGTGATTTAATTGTGATAAACGTGTTTATAAACGTGTTTGTAAGTATTTTTCTTACGTTATTATAACGTATTGATAACTTTTTGTATAAGGAAACTGCAAATAAAACGCAATATATGGCAACGTTTTAAAATCGTTTTAAAAACGATTTATAAAAACGATAACAATTTCTCTGACAATTGGTGAAAATTTGGTTTTGATATAACGTTCTGTGAACGTTGTGATTTCGTTATAATTATACATTTGTTGAGGAGTCTGCGTACGTTTTTATATCGTTATGGTGCATTAAATCTGTAAACAATAGGCAATATTACACAGCGACGTTTTAAAATCGTTTTTAAAACGTTTTATAAAAACGATAACATTTTTGATGAAAGTTAGTGAAAATTTGGTTGTGATATAACGTTCTGTAAACGTTGTGATTTCGTTTTATTTTATGCACCTGTTTGTAAGTTTGCGTACGTTTTTTAAATGTTTTTTTTAACGTTTTGGTGCAAACAATCTGCAATCAAAAGGCAAGGTTTACACAGCGACGTTTTAAAATCCTTTTTAAAACGTTTTATAAAAACGATAACAATTTTTGTGAAAATTGGTGAAAAGTTGGTTGTGATATAACGTTTACAGAACGTTGTGATTTCGTTCTATTTTACACACTTGTTTGTAAGTTTTTTGCGTACGTTTTTCTAACGTTTTTTTAACGTTTTGGTGCAAAAGTCTCGTATCAGAAAGCACAATTTTTAACTTGCACGTTTTAAAAACGTTTTGAAAACGTTTCACAAAAACGAAACCCAAACTAAAACCAATTCAAAACGTTTTTTTAACGTTTTGTGTTAGCTGGGATGTCGTGTCCATGGCACCACCACCGGACAGTTGGAACAGAGTCACTGTGGAACCATTTTTTGAAAACGGTAGCAT